GGTGTTAACCCATATAAATCTATGCATAACTTTCCCACTCACTCATGATTAACAATTATAGGTTAGGGATCTTGCTAAACATTGCACTTAGTGATGAAATGTCACATGTAAACTACCGAGTGAATAAATCTAAACGCGTGTGTTCCCTAACTTTAAGTGTCAAAGTTACCAGGAAAAAGTTTGACAATATAAGCACTATAAATAGTTTATAACTAGATTTTGACAACATAACCACTATAAATGTTTATAACCAGATTTTGACAACATAACCACTGTAAATGTTTATTAACAGATTTTGACAGCATAACCATTATAAATGTTTATAACCAAATTTTGACCAATACATAACTATCATATCAGTTATGTAAATAAACATCCAACAATCGCATATATCAATTATAAATAAACACTAGTTTATTAAACATATATAAAAAAGATTTAATTATACATAAACAATCAATGATAATTTTATGTTTATATAAAAATAAATAACAGTTATAAGCAAGTATTCTCCCCAAAAACATTAAATTTTTTGGAAAATAGGGTTGTGAATACTCACCCTCGGTGCGTTCTTTAACCGTTTGGATTTTTATTGGATTTGTCAGATTCTGTCGAGAAATAAACCGAACAGAGTTTCGTTTATAGGAGTCAAAAAGTAGCTTGAAAAGGAGTCGAACTAGATCAAGAAGTGGTTGGAAAACATTCCGGTCGTCGGAGAAGTGCCGACGATGATAGTTTTCAGCAGTTTCTCGACCGCACAACAACAGCAGGTCGGGGCTGGGTGGGACTTGGATCGTCGCTAGGAGGTGGTTGAAGGTAGAGAAGGGGGTTACCGATGTCGGATCACGAGGCGCTTGTGGTGGTTTTCACCGGAAAAGTTAGAGAGAGAGAGAGAGAGAGGTGGTTGACGAAATTTCTCCTCTCTCCTATTTATAGAAGGTCAAGGGTGATGTGGATGGATATGAACGCGACAAGTTGCGTGTTCTCGAACCACATGCGACAAGTCTTCGAATTCCGACATCCCGTGAACTTTCCGAAAAGACTAGTTTGATGTCTATGATGTTACAGTTCATAATATGTAAAATATTTTTCAAACAAATCCCACAACTAGGCGAACAAAGCGTTTGAAGTGAGTTAACAATGAGTTTCCGGTTGCGGCAATTCAAAAGTGTTCGCGAAAGTACCAAAACTCCATGAGAATAAAATTCCGCAAAATTGAATCAAATACCAGACCTATAATTAGTCCAAAAAATGTTATCATGCTCATCTAACAAGTTGCATAGTTAACCTAACGAATTGTTCGAATATTCGTTGGCGGGAAAGCCAGTGTTGCATTGTTTGATCCTTAAGGATTTTTCAGGAAAAATGAGTTAAGTATAAAATTGAATACTAGATCGGAGTATGATCGAGAGAAAATTGTGATGAGTTGAAAACTCATTATTTAAGGCACCAAACCAAGTGTTTTAAGTTTTGTTATTAACGCCATTAGGCGGCTGACGTGTGCGTTTTCTTCAAAAGCTTGCAACTTTTACATACGAACTCCGTTTTCGACGTTCTTTATATCCACGAAATCGTAGTAAAATGTATTTTCTAATTAGGGTATTATTTGTAAAAAAAATAATACTTAATACATATATATCTATTTCAAATATGTGAATTAATTCACCTTTTGTAGATTACGACGAGTGTTGGTTCATCCAAATTTTCGCAATTTGATGACTTAATTGATATTTCTCATGTAATTCAAGGTATAATGTTGTATTTACATAAAAAATAACTGAATATTATACATCAAGTCTGTTTCATTGAGTGTTCTTCACGTTTGCGATGGACGATCGTTGACTTATTTTGATTGTTCTCATATGGCGAATTGTTTCCATCACTTCAACTAATTGCCGCCGAACACAATGACCACAACTAACGAGCCCGAATGCAACACATAAACAAAAGATCAAACATCAAACCTAAAACCTCACCACGTATGTCATCATTTAAACCACATCCTTAATGAAGCTCTTGAAATGTTTAAGATCCATTTACTTCCTATAATCAGCGGTTTTCTGAAGAATTGAAGCAATAAATACAAGTGTTAAATTACATAAACGGACATATATGTTTTTTCGGATTAAACCTTAATTTTATTTTATTTTTATAATAAATCCCTTTTCCATTTTACCCTTTTAGCATGTTTATCGGTATTCTTCCAATTTTAGAAAACTTTTTTTTTTTGGAAAAAAAACTCTTACATTGGGCAAATTTTTAGTTTGGACTAACTTTTTTTTTTTGCTCATAATTCCTTTGTTTTTCATTTTGCTTATGTTTATGGTGTTCTGGAAAGTTTTCAACATTAAAGTATAGAGAAGACATTTGAATTTTCCCAAACAAGGATAAGGGATGTTATGTCCAACTTTTGTTGGCAAAATACATATCAAAATCTGCTTTGTAAGATGCTCGAAGATTGTAGTATCTGAAGAACATCAGTATGAGCTATCTTGGTATCTTAGACCGCTTGGAGTACATAAGTTGTCTTTATATTTGATTCTTATAAAAACCTAAGCTGCCAAGCCAACTTAGATAACTGGTCTTCACATGCTACAATCGTTGATAATTCTATAAATATATTTTATATGTATTTTGCCAACAAGAATCAGACATGCAAATTATTATGCATTTTGCCAACAATCATCCTATAAATAAATTTTTATATGCATTTTACCAACCAAAGTTAAACATGAGAATTATTATACAGTTTGCAAACAAGAATAAAAAATGTGAATTATCATGCATTTTTTCAAACGGTCTAAGATACCATGTCTGTTTAGATCGCTATTCTTAACCTAATATAATCTCCATGCATCATATAAATAGATTCTGATATATAGTTTGTCAACAACAATTTAACACGACACCCTTTCTCCTTGTTTTGAAAAAAAATCAAATGTTTCTTTTATATTTTAATTTTGAAAACTATCAAGATCACCATAAACATCAACAACATAAAAAATAGAGGAATTATGAGCCAAAAACAAAAAAGTTGGTCCAGAGAGCTTTTTCGAGAAAATTTTGAGGTTTTTCTCAGAAAAAATTGTGTAAAATCGAAAGATTACCGCAAAACATTCTAAAAATAGCCAAATTGAAAATATAGAAAAATATAAGAATTTTTTAGAATAAAAAAGCTAAGATTTAATCTGAAAATAACTCAACATATAGGAACTCTTATGTAATTAACCCTAAATAAAAATATTACATATATATAAGGAGAACAACATGAACACAATACCGAGATATGGATTCATCAATCGTCTTCATCTTCATCGACCCAACACAACCACATTACTAGGATCCCTCTCTTACAAACATACACAACAACCTTATCGATGCAAAAATCAGAATTGTATACTGATAAAATCATTGTCATGTTAAAAACCTAAATCTAGTTTTCGATTGGAGTTTTTCAATTTACTTCGGCAGGGTTAGGGGTACTAAAAAGAAGTGAGATGGAGTTGCCATCAGAGTTACAAGATATATAGAAAACATGGATGAAAAGAAAGGGTAAGGATGTTGGATGGCGGTTGATGTGTTTTACGATGTGATAGTGAGTGTATAGAGGAAACTGTGGTGATCGGGGAAGAGGAAGAAGAAGAAAGAGCTGCTGAATGTGTCAGAGTGGCATGAGGAGGCGAAGAAGGCGTTTCTTGAGTGGAGAGAGATGGATGTGGAGCTCCGATGATGTTTTTAGGAGAGAGAGAGAGAGATGATGATGATGCTCTTCCTTTTATAATGTCATGATAAAGAACCTTTATGAAAATGAAAAATAATAAATAAATAGAAGAGGGTAAACTGTTTATCCTGTAAGTATTTAATTTAATTTTTTGATCCATGTAAGGGTGCATGAAGTGGTGGCAGGTTGATGATTTTAGGTTGGCGGTACTGGTGGTACCGCTGGTAAGACAAATCCTTGACGCATATAGGACTAGACGAAGGGTTGCATGCAGATTAATGAACCCGTGAGGCCGTGATGCTTCCCAACAACCAAAATTTTAAACAATTTTGTTTTTTCTATTATTTTTAATAAAATTTCCTATTATAAATACTTTCTTTTACCATTTTAAAACCACATCTTCCCTTCTTTCAATTTCATTCCATTTTACTTTACTCTCTATACATTTCAATTCAAAATTTGAAAATAGATGCCATTCAATGGTCTGAAATCGAAGAAATGACGTTGATTTGAGCATACACTAACATTTTTGAAAAAAAGCAGGTTACTCAACATAAATCGTCATATTTTTTATGAGTAGTTATAGATCATTTTAAGTAGTATGAGGTTAAGATCGTTCAACACATCAAATTGCTTCCAAATAAAAAATATATAGCAAGAAAGTGAAAGAGTTTAATATTGTTTTTCACCCATAAGATGAATGTCAGGGAGTCCGGAGTTTCCATCGAAGAAGTTTTAAACGCAAAAGAAAAAAAAATTATCGCGAACACCATAACATGAATGATTTTCGTTACAAGATGGCATAAATATTTTTAAAAAATAACTTTTTTTTTTTTTTTTTTCAGAATCTAAGTATTTTTTTTAGTTTGTATTGTTTTTTTAGTTATTTCAGTTTTTGTTTTAAGATTTATTTAATGTTATTGCAATGTAGTTTTTTAAATGTTATGTTTTATTTTATTTTATATTTCTTATTTTAGTTAAATTAAAAATAATGATACAACAAATGTGTTCAATGGTTGGGAATTTTTTTTTCTTGTGTTTGAATGGTAAAAAATAAAATAGATAAATAAAAGTAAAAATGATATAACAATTAAACAATAGGTTGAGTATTGAGTGGGTTGAAAATGATGCATTTCCTCTCCATATTGATAACAATTATGAGTGATATTTGTTTTACCAACTCGATAGACTATTTATGTAATTTGTCCCTCTAAAATTAATATGGTAGAATGGATATATCATCAAAACCATGAATATGTATTAAGTATAACGAACAGAAAGAAAACGAAAAGAAATTTGTTGAAAATAGTAAACTCAAAGCACTCTATGTGTGTCTTTGACCCATTTTCCAACACACACTTCTCTATCCCTCAACGCCACCATATCCTCCCCCATTTCCCTTCCTTCTCTCTACCAAATCCACCATTCTTCGCCTTTGTTTTCTCAAATCGCCATAACCCCCTTTAGATCCCAATATTTGATTCCTTTCTGTTTCGTCTTTCAATCCAATTGGTTCGGTTTCACGTTTCTATTGCTCGATCTGTTAATAATTGTAATTGGGTTCTTCAAATCAAGATCCTTTGTTTGATTCTCCTGCTTCTTGTTGTTGTAATCAGGTATGATGTCTTCTCTCCTCCCAGATCTGACCACAAAAATCTACCCAGAACCACCATGCAGTTTCTTGTCGGTGGCCGCGGAGGATGAAGGCGTCGACCGGTTTGATCAGCTGCCGGACTCTCTTCTTCTCTTGATCTTCAATAGGATCGGCGATGTCAAGGCGTTGGGCCGTTGTTGCGCCGTTTCGAAAAGATTCCATTCCCTTGTTCCTCAGGTCGAAAACGTCGTTGTTCGAGTCGATTGCGTTATCTCCGACGATGATTCTTCTTCCGCCTCCGGCTCCTCCGACAAATCTCGTGGACCAATTTCTAGTCTTTTCCGCATCGTCTTCGGCGGCATCGTGAAGCCAATCCAAGCACTTGGCCAATTCTTCGGTCCAAAACGATCTTCGTACTCGTCGTTATCCTCCCCTTCTTCTTCCTCATCTTCTTCTTTGTCCGTCGGGAATGTCGACGGTGACGACGATATCGAGCAAGGCGGTGGAGTTACTCATCATTCTCCAACTCAAGTCCTCAAAAACTTCAACGAGATTCGATATCTCAAAATTGAACTCCCCAGCGGTGAATTGGGTATCGAAGATGATGTTCTGTTGAGATGGAGAGCAGATTTTGGATCAACGTTAGATAATTGCGTGATGCTTGGCGCATCCTCTGTGATTCGCCCTGCAAATTCTTCACCCAATCAATCCAATTACGACACAATATGCGTTAATGGAAACAATAACCTCCACGAAGATAATGGCAGTATACCGGAATCCTTCTACACCAACGGTGGTCTGAAATTACGCGTCGTATGGACCATAAGCTCGTTGATTGCAGCATCTGCAAGACATTACTTGCTTCAACCGATCATTTCCGAACATAAGACGTTAGATTCACTGGTTTTAACCGATGCAGATGGGCAAGGGGTGTTATGTATGAACAGGGAACAATTGGAAGAATTAAGAGTGAAGCCATTGTCAGCTTCTTCAGCTTCAAAGAGAACCCTTGTTCCAGCTTTGAATATGAGGCTCTGGTATGCGCCATTTTTGGAGTTACCAGATGGAACTGTGCTCAAAGGGGCTACATTAGTTGCGACTAGGCCAAGTGAACAATCTGTTCAAAAGGATTTTTCTGATGGACTGTGGGTTTCATCTGCATTCGAGGAGCCTTTTGGAACTGCTGCAAGAATGTTGGTCAAAAGGAGGACTTATTGCCTTGAGATGAATTCCTTTTGATGTAAGAACTCTAATCATCTTCACTTTTTTTCTTGAATTCAATCTCATGAAACTGCTTTCTTGATTGTAATTTTGTTTCTGATCTCCTGCTACCAAGAATCATTGAAATTAAGGACTTATATATATAAAACTTGATTGATTAACTGTTTAATGTTGCAATTATGCTTAGTTAATCTATATAGAATCTTCATTGAGGTGTTTTTTGTTTTATTTTTACATTGAGATTTGAGTGTTCATCCATTTTGATCAGAACTCTTTTGGTTGTTGACAAAATTATACATTTAAGAGCTGAAATATTGCTATTAGATAGGAATTTGTATACAAGCATTGAGATTTCCAAAACCCAAAAATGGACTCTATTTTAAAGTGTTTCAATATTATAATATTTTAGGAGTTTAATTCGGCCATTGACGTTAGATGTTTGCTCTCTCAAGGCATTCATAAGTTATGTTACAAGCAACTCTTTTTAATCCACACATCACTTTCTTTAATCATGAATGTCATGTGACTCTTTATACATAAGAAAGGTCATATTTTTCTTTTCTATATCAGTTACAACTTCTACCAAAAGACATCAAGTAAAGTAAGCAGAATACGGAATCTTTAATTTGTTAAAGATGGCTCATTTTTATTCCTTATATGGTGTTTTTTCTTTATAGTTAATATATCTTTGCTTCTTTTATAAAGATTCTCATTTGATATTGGTTTTTGGCCTTTTTCAGTTTTCAAGAATAACTAGACAACATTAGGTTTCTGAAGGCATTGAATGGCAGAGAAACCACACAATTTTGCTTCTGAAAAATGGAAGGAATGAAGTTGTTGGTAGATGAGGCGGTAAGAGTTATGTGCCCTTTTTTTTTTTTTTTTTTTTTTTTGTTTCTAGATTCATTAGACAATATCTTTCTTTTTTGTGAATATTTGTAGGTATAAAAATATGTAATGTTTATTAAGCAAAGGTTATGTTGGAACTGCATGCCTTTATGAATCTTGTAGATTTTGTGTCTTACTTCCAAAATCCCATGTTCAAAGTGTTGATTCTCGAGTTGTTTGTAGTAGACTTGCTTGAAAAATAATAATAATAGAACTCTTTTGGTGGTCTCGTGTTGCGTTCCATAATCTTAATTCTTTTTTCAGACAATACATGTTGTATCGTGTTTGATATCCATTAGACTGGACTGTACTAATATCAGTGAAACATGTTGTACTGTGTTTGATATCCATTAGACTGGACTGTATACCAATGAGATGATGATGTGTTTTCGATTTTTTGTTTGTGCAAAAGACATAAATCGGTGAAAATTTAGTTCTCAGTTTCAAGTTTCAAGTTTGGGTATCGTGATTACTTTTACATGTTGGCAGTGGGATCGGTTGGTGGGACAGTCCATAAACTATAATATTGTTTGCTTAAATCTTTTGGTCCCCTTCAATGCATATGCCATCCATTATATGGTGTCTTTAAGGGGTAGCAAGTGCATTAATTCTTTAAAAGCATATGATGACCATTGGATGTGTAGTGATGGCAAATACACCAATTCTTTAGAAGCCTATGAGGAGAATGGGTGTATATATTATGAATGTCCTTATCTACGAACACTCTTCTTGGATGTGGTCCATGTCATTTTCCTCTTGCAAGGACTTAATGGTTTTCGAGTTTATGAATTAGTTATGAGAAATCTTCTTACTTATCTTTCTATATATATGAAATGATGATAAGTGTTACATTTTGATAAAATTAATAATACTTATTTTATTTGAGACATTTGTTATTAATTCATAGGTATTCTTCTTATTTAAGACACTTGTCATTAATTCATAGGTAGGAAGAAGAATAGGATATTTAATTTCTTATTAGTTATTAATCCGTATAAGATCTCATCAAACATTAAAAGATGTTTGCGGGTATGTGGGGGAATCAAATAATGGGAGCATATTGAATAATTGAAAAGATTTGTCATTGCTGGAACCAACTAGATTTGTTGATTTGATCTTGCCACCTTTCATCCCTCACAGTCTCTCTTTGTGTATCATCTTTGGTTATTGCATCAAATAATTGAGTAATTTTATGTTAAATATTTAAAGTATTTATGTTTTAATCATCAAAGATATATATATTTCACGAATAATGCACTTTGCGGGTGGCTTCCTTGAATCTTAACGC